TGGAGTCAGAAAAGTCAAAGGGGCCAAACTCACTTGGCATTCCTTAAGCTGAAGGAACTGAAGAATAAATTCAAGCCTCAAGTTGCAATCTGTTAAGGATGCTTTGGACAGAACATTAAATGATTCAGGAAGCATTAAAAGAAAATAGAAAAATAGAGAGTCACTGTACCAAAAGGGTGGACACAGAATTTCATGAAACAATATATGAGCAAGAGCCTTTTGTGATGATGGAAGATGTTTAAGCTGCTCTGAAAGAATTGGCAAAAAGCAAGGCCCCAGGAATTGATGGTATACCAATTGAGATATTTAAAAAAACAGATGCTGCCCTGGATGCGCTCACCAAGTTATGACTAGAAATCTGGAGGACAACCATCTGGCCAACTGACTAGAAGAGATCTGTATTTGCTCCTATTTCAAAGAAAGGTGACCTGACAGAAAGTGAAAATTATCAAACAATATCATAGATATCACCTGCAATAAATATCCTGCTGAAGATTGCCCAAAAATGACTGGAACAGCACATCAACAGAGAACTGCCAGATGTGCACGCTGGGTTTGGAAGAGGCTGCTGTAGTACTAGGGATATTGTAGCTAATGTCAGATGGATCTTGGCTGAAAGCAGGGAGTACCAGAGCAATGTCTACCTATGTTTCGTTGACTATATTTATTGTTATTGTTTATTTTTGTAAGCAGGAGTGGCTTCCACTTGCTAAACGACATGCTTCTGGAAACTATGAACGTTGAGAAAGGGCAATAGTTATAGAAAGGCTTCAGGTCTTTGTTTATAGGGTCACTATGAGTCATGCTCAACTCAACAGCATTGCCTATCTTTATATCCTTGTTTGTAAAATGCCAATTAGTGATAATTACTAATTTTTCTAACAGATTATAGGGTTTTGTTGTTGTTAATGATTTATAGACAGGTTCTGTATACTGTATTCTATTATTCTTTTTTCTTTTTCTTTTTTCACTGGTTTGCATACCATAATCTGTATACCTTGTATTTCATTGATGTGCATTGTGCTTTATACAATATTTCATTTACATTGTTTTTCATGCATTCATACACATTGTATTTTATATAATTAACTTATATTGGTCTGAGGTTCCAGACCACCAGCTGCTCCACAGAAGACGGATGGGCAATCTCCTCCTGTGCAATTAATGGCCTCTGAAAATCCACCAGAGGTCACTTGTGGGTCAGTTCTGACTCTATGATACACAATGACAACAACATACCTATTTTTTTTTCCAGTTTAAATTTTTTTTAATTTTATTTTATTAATTTTAATGAACATTAACAGATATTTTGGATTTCCATTCGTTCTTTGTTGCACTATTTTCTCTACGCCCCCCAACATACCTATGATTACTCCATCTTTTCAAGCCCTCATTGAATCTTTCCTACTAGTTCACCTCTCCATTTGTCCACTAAACCCTGCTGCCCTACTGATTTCCCCTGCCCTTGTGTATTGTATTACTCTTCTGTCTATCACAAAGATCTCATCATTTGTGGGCTGACTTTTCACATCTCATCATTTCTGCCCTTCATGGACAAACTTTGAAATGTTGAATTTATGGGTCTTTTTCTTTGTAGTTATTCATTTAAGGTCTTATTGTAGGAACTTTACATTAGTCAAAGTTCAAAACTTTGAACACTACAGACGACAGGCAGACTGGCCCGCTTGTGTATTGCTGGTGGGTGGGTAAATGGTACAGATGTCCTAGAAAACAGTTTAGCCATTTTGTAACCACCATGTGATCTAACAGTTGTACTCCTTGGTATTTATCACAGAGAAATGAAGGCTTATGTTCATGCAAAAACAAATGTTTCTAGAACTTTCTTCATAATAGCTAAAAACTGTAAACAACATCTGTCATTAAGTAAATGAAAAGCCAAACAAAGCGTAACACATTCACGAAACACTGTTGTTGTGTTATTGTTGTTTTGTTGTTATGTGTCATCAAATTACAACTGACTCATCACTGACTATAAATTACATGGGAAGAGATTGTCCAGCTTTCTCCTGAGGAGCAGCTGATAGATTTGAACTTCAGAGCTCCCTCCATAAAACTGTTGTTGTTAAATGTCATTGAATTGTATACAACTCACAGCAACCCCATGAGGAATAGATCTGAACTCTGTCCTATCCTGTGCCATCCTCATCATTTCTGACAAACCTGAGCCCATTACAGTACTCACTGAGTCAAATCATCTCATTGAGGATTTTCCTCTCTTTTGTACCCTGTACCTTTCTAAGCATGATGTCCCTCTCCAAGGAATAACCTCTCCTATCAACATGCCCAAAATATGAGATGAAGCTTTGCCATCTTTGCCTCCAAGGACCACTTTGGCTGTACTTTCTCCAAACCTATCTGTTCTTCTGGCAGTCTATGGGACATTCAGTACTCTTCTTCAGCACCACAACTCAAATGCATCAATTCTTCTGTCATCTTTATCTATTGTCCAGCTCTCAGATGTAAAGCAAGTGACTGAAAAGACCATGGTCTGAATTAGGCACACTTTAGTCTTTAAAATTACATCATTGCTCCTCAGTAATTTGGAGAGGCCCATGACAGATGACTTGCCCAATGCAATATATCTCCTGTTCTCTTGATTACTAGTGCTAGGGATGTTGATTGTGGATCTAAATGAGATGAAATTGTTGACAATTTCAATCTTTTCTCCATCTACCATGGAATACTACTCAGTGATAAAAAGTAATTAACTACATCTAACAACCTGAAAAAAACTGTGCTGTACTAAGTTTTAAAAAAAAAATCACATACTGTATGATTCACCTAATGTTATGAGATGTTGTTGTGTCTTATTGAGTCAGGACCCTCTCATAGCTGACCAACCCTCCAGCCAGTTTTCAGAGGCAGTAATCGCACAGGAGGAGATTGCCCATCTTCCTCTCATAGAGCAACTGGTAGATTGAAACCTCATGACTCTGAGATTGCAGTATGGCTTCTTACCACTAGGCTGCTCCAGAGTTCCCTTTTATAAGATGTTGGTGTTATATGTTATCATGTTGCTTGTGATTAGTAGCAACCATATGGCTATGTACAATAGCTTGGAACCCTGCCCTATCCTGAGCCAATCTCACTGTCTTTGACACACCTACCCCCATGACCCCAGTCACTGAGTCAATCCATCTCATCCAGGGTCTTCTTCTCTTGTGCTGCCCCTCCATCCTCTCAAGCATGATGTCTTTCTTCAAGGACTAATCCCTCCTGACAACATGCCTAAAGTATGTGAGAAGGAGCTTCAAAATCCTTGCCTCTAAGGAGCAGCCTGGTTTCACCCTCTCCAGGACAAACCTATTTGTTCTTTTGGCAGTTCATGGTATATTCAGTACTATTCTTCAGCACTACAACTCAAAGGCATTGATTCTTCTTCTGCCAGCTCTCTGATACATAGCAAGTAATTGTGAAGACTATGACCTGGATCAAACACACCTTAGTCTCCAATCTTACATCCTTGCTCTTCTGCCCTCTGGAGAGGTCCCTGAAAACAGATTTTCCCAAAGCAATTCGTCATTTGATTTCTGGACTGTTGGTACCAAGAGTGTTGATTGTGGAATCAAGTAAGCTGTAATTGTTAACAATCTCATCTCTTCTCCATCTATCATGGTGCTCCCAATTAGCTAGTGGTGAGAATCTTTGTTTTCTTGATGTTCAGCTTCAATCCATATTGGAGACTATAGTCCGTGACCTTCTGCAGCAAGTGCTTCAGGTCCTCTTCAGTCTCTGCAAGCAAGGTTGTGTCATCTGCATAACAGAGGTTGTTGCTAGGTCTTCCTCCAATTCTTAAGCCACATTTTTCCTGTTCTGCATATTGACTGAAAATGTATGGAGACAGGCAACTGAGAAGACCATGGCCTGGATCAGGTATACATTAGTCTTCAGACTGAAATTGTTGCTCTTCAGTACTCTGGAGAGGTCCCTGACAGAAGACTTTCCAAAACAACTTGTCTTTTGATTTTCTGGCTGCTGATGTCAAGAGTGTTAATTGTGGGTCCAAGTAAGATGAAATTGTTAACAATGTCAGTCTTTTCTCCATCTGTCAGGATGCTGCCTATTGACCCAGTGGTGAGAATCTTTGTTTTCTTGATGTTGTGATGCAATCCACATGGCAGGCCCTTGGTCTTCTGCAGAAAATGCTTCAAGTTCTCCTCAGTTTGGGTGAGCAAAGTTGTGCTGTCAGCATAATGCAGGTTGTTGATGAGTCTTCCTCCAATCCTGATGCCACAGTTAACATGAGTCAAATATTTATGAATGGAAAACCATTTTGCTCTGTAAACTTTCATGTAAATCACAATAAAATAAGAGGAGGGGACCCTTAAATCTTCTCTCAAGATTTTTAACCCAATATTGACAACAACTCCTATGTCCCTAACTGGATGAAGGATACATTTCTAAGTCTGTAACAAAACAAATACACGTTCTCGTCTTCTAAAATTAGAGATTCCCTGGCACAAGAATGCATAATCATCCCTTTTCTGACAGCTCATGATAAAGGCTTTTACTGATGGCCCTCAACAAGATGAACTGTCATAGTGAAAATAACAATGGGCTTAAGTATATCAGTGACGGTGAAGTTGGTACAAGATAGGATCAGGTTCAGATCTGTTGTTCACAGGACTGTTGTGAGTCACAAGTGACTTGATGGCACATAAAAACCATTCACATCATCCCAAACTCCCCATATTCCCAAAGTGCTTGGAACATATCTAAAACTGTTCATCTCAACAAGGCTGCTAAATGAGAGCTTCTGTCCTCATCTTGGTCTTGAGGCCTCCAGGGTACGCACTTCTAGGCAGGGACAAAGCAGGATGCTCTTCTGGGGTTTCTCTGGCTGCAGCCTCTCAAGGGGGAGTGGTCACCTGACAGGAACAGTATTCAAAACCAGAAACCAAGGTGTGGTCCAAGCTCCTTTAAGCCCCAGAGTGTGGAGGCTCCTGGTGAGTCCCCACAGAAGAATCCAGAAGAGGAAGATGGTTAGGGAGTGGCCTTCAGTGAGGAGATTCTTTCTCTGTCTCACCATTAACCTTCTGTTGCAAGGTAAGATGGGGCACGAGCAGGGGAAGATGGGAGTGCTGTTCTGGATGACATCCAGAAAATCTCTCATTCCCTACAACTGGAGGACATCCAGAATAAATGGGTTAAGTATTTCTTTCCTCTGCATATCTATATCTGGTTTCCTTCTGGAGATAGATGAAAAACCATTTTACTGCTCAGTCCCATAGCCCCTCTCTCGTTTACCTACATACATATCTAGCAAAATGTCCAAACTTCCATTTTACCATTTCTCCAGGTCCATCCTTCTATATTGTCCAACTTATCCAAGATAAGGTCTGTCAACATATAGTACCTATGAATGCTTGGATCCTGTTGACAACTACAAAAGCTTTTTCACCACTCACTTGGGAAAAGACCTGTAGAAAGATCAAGCCAAGGGAAGACATGACATTCACTTCTGGAATATGTGTCTACTTAGTTTAGAGATGTCAGAGATGAATTAACTAGGATGGGACGTTTGTCAAAGAGGCTTCAGAATGGACTTGCTGAGCTATATTTACAGATGTTTCCACATGATCGTCTGGGGTTTGGTGACAGACGAGGTGGGCAGAAGAATCTTTCTCTTTCCTTTTAGGCCCTTTGTATAGCTCAATACGATGGATGACAAATGAGATCTCAAGATGGAGTGACAAAGATGTCCCCCCACAGAACTTTAAGGGAGTTACTGGATTTGAGAAGGATATAAAGCATAGCACATAGTAGGTAGTCAGTACATTCAAATTGAACACAAGACCTCTTACCAGATAGTTTCCATCATTCTCCGGCTTACTTCTCCCCAAACATTTCCATTCAGGAAATGGGGGAAATCTAAAAATAAGAAAGGAAGAATTGAGGGGGGGGGAATGTTGAGAGAAATTTTGGGCAATGACTGACAATGAGGAAGTGTCATAACACAGCTGGAGGAATAAAAGTATGAAAGCCAAAAACTGAAGGCTGCAGATATGGAAAGTGTAGGACTCCCCTGAGTGGCTGTTTGCATATGAATTTGGATAGGCTTTCTACACACAGGAAGAAGGAGGTAAGCCTGCCCTGCTCTCCACATCACTGTCCACCATTTACTCAACAGTCAAACCCCCTCAGCCCTGGCAGGAAGGGCTTTCACTTTGAGGGTGCTCTTTGCCTGTGGAGCAAAGGCTCCCCTGTTTCTCTCAGTGCCCACATTTTCCTCTCTCTTCAGACAGACTCTCAGCCCCCCATCCTGGAACTCCTCTCACTTAAGAAGCACAATGACCTGCTGCTCTCTCCAAGGTTTTCTTCTTTCTGCAGCAAAGGCGGACACTTTCACCATCAACTGCTCAGGGTTTGACCAAAATGGACTGGACCCCACTGCCTTCCAGTCTGTGTTTAGTAAGAAGGCTTTCCGGCCAGTGACCAACCAGAACATCCCCACTCGTGTCAACATCTCCTTCACCCTGTCTGCCATCCTAGAAGTGGTGAGACCCCCATCCCTTCTACAGGCTTCAAATGGGTCACAAGGGCCCTCTTCTGTCCAGCATTGAGCAATGGCTCCCCTCAATGGATTTTGTACAAGTTAGAAGTTCATCCTATGGGGATGGAGAGACATACAGGGGAATAGTGCAGTGGCATTTCCACAGGGAACATTTGTCCTTGAGAAAGTTATTGGAATGTTCTATTAAAAAAAAAATCCATTCCCACACAAAAAAAAATACATTCCCGGTGAGTCATCATTTTGGCTTTTCCCCTACATTTTCCATACCACCTGGATTTTCCTGACCTAACTTTTTAATATATGTGACTTATGATTGAAAAGCTGAACTGTCACATGGGACCTCTTAGGAAGCCTAAGACCTGATTTCATGGCATTAACGATCCTGTATGGAAATTTTTTTGCCAGGATGCACAACTTCAGCTGTTGACGTCATTTCTATGGCTAAATATGGTAAGTGAGATTTGGTTTCTTCCTCTCTTGCCTTCCCTTTTTTTTTCTGGCTTTGCTTACAAAACTCTCATTTGTTGACATTGGCAGCAGCTTGGAAGAACAGACAAATCAAACCAGAATGAGGCCAATGCTGGTGACAAAAAGGAAAAAAAAGCTTTCTCCACTGCCAAACAACTTAGAAAAACTTGGGTGGAAAACACAGGCAGAAGGAGGGTAGCACAGCTGGAAGCTACTGATACATCACAGCCCAAATATATCTAAAGTTAAGTTCAGATTTCTCCTGAGTGGAAACCGTAAGGCCAGTAGTTACTAGAGAGGGAAAGACCATGATCACCAGAGAGTGAAGAGGAATCAGGGTTTCCAAAGGAGATCAGATCAAAAAGCAATGTCCATAACTGGTCTAAATAAAAATGGATGCTGGAACATGTTGTTGGGCTTCCTCCCCTCACCCCAGGATGGTACATAAGAAAATGGTAATAGTGAGGTTGAATTAGGGTGAGTCATAAAGGAAAAGTATAACTTTTTATGCTATAACTTTCTGGAATAGTGTATTGTATCTTTCCAAATATGACAAAATCCATTGAGTCTATTGTATACACATGTGCACCCTTATTAAACATGCACATGTCTTAGCTCATAAACACATCACTCCAGTCTCTGCCTTTGTGTGACACATGCCTGTCTCTACCTCTCTTCTTATAAGGATGCCAGCAATCGAAAGGATTAGGGCAAAAAAAAAATTAAAATTAAAAAAATTTTAAATAATTTAAAAAAAAAGGATTCGGGCTAACTCCATTCTAGTATGATCTCATCTTAACGAATCACTTTTGCCAAACTCCTGTGTCCAAATAAAGTCACACTGTATCATTCCAGAAAGCATGTTGAATGTGGAGGGATGTCCAGCCTCCAAGTCTGGTGTTCCTTTTTCACACATACCTGGTTAGCATGAGCTCTGGTCAAGGAAGAAATTTCTGGAGTCAGACCTCCTGGTCCTAGATCCCAGCTTTACCACCTACTGTCGTTGTGACTTCGAAAACTTCTTAGATCACTCTTTTGGACAACACAGATATAACAGAGATAATGTCAGTACTCACCTCCCATGTCTATTGTGAGGATTAAGCACAGTCAATATATGTAACATATATTAAGAAGTCAGTATTAACTATTAACATCACAATATGATCATAAGTTCTTTGCCCCACATGCCTTCATAGTGTCTGCAGCAACTAACAGAGTTAATTATTAATGATAATAGAAATAGTAATATTTAACAAGCACGTACATAGGTAAATATTTTTTTTTTCATTTCAACAAGAATTTTATTTTTCACAAAGGGGGGAGGGGGAAAGTAAGAACTTATTTAAAGTCTATTTAAGCAAAATGAAGCCTCAAAAGACAGCTTAGAATTAAACAAGTACTGAATCAAGAAGAGCCAAATCTGAGGTGTTAACAAAGGGAAGTTGTTCTTTATACCAGAAATAGGCATTAGACTAGCTGGCTTGGTGCTAATTAGGGAGAGGCAAGCAGGCTTGGTTATGCCCTGCTTCCTAACGTGCCCACTCACCCTGACTGAAGGGCTTTAACCCTGAGTGCAGTTATCATCCAACCACCTTTTAAAAACTCTATTCAGATTTAAACTGGAATACTGTGTACCCAAAAGATGCTGTTTAGCAAGACAGACACAGCAGGCATCTTAATTAAATAATTTTACTGGGAGGAAAAATTACATTTAGAGCATCAGAGCAAAAACACCATTTTCACTCATTCCCCCCAAAAAAGATGCTCAATGCAGGCCTGGTGGACTGTCCCCAGCACCAGGCATCTTCAGGCTGAATGCACAGGGGTCCCACAGTGCTTGTGCCACAGGTCGATGGCCTTGCTCACAATCGCATCCGAGCTGTCCTGGGGAAGATTTTCCAGGAATGTGGTGATCTTCTCGGCACTGTTCAGGGCCATTACTTTTATTTTAAAGGTTAACAGAATTTCTACTCCTACAAAGACTAGGATCTTACAGGATCCGCTCACAACTTTATCCCAAACTCTCTGTAGACTAGACTCAGGCAAGTATCCTGCAAAGCATCTCTTGAACCAGAGATCGTAGGGGAGTTTGGACACCGCAGAACAAGTCTTCAGATGATTCAGCAAGTCTGCTGTCTTCCAAATTCAAGTACTGTTCAAAAGCCTTTGGCAGCTGGGGTAGAAAGTCCCGGTACTTCTGTAACTGGTTCATAAAGCATCGGACAATCCAGTAACAATCGATGTTATCTTCCACCATCTCTCCCATGGCTTTAGCGATGGCAAGAAAAACTTTATCTTCTGGCTCCTAGAAGTACCTTCCACACCAATGCTAGGTACATAGATGGGAGAGGGAACCTCTGACTGAAAGTGCAAAGTTTCTCAATATCTAGACGGTCATCCTTGAGGAGAATTTCTAGTGATTTCTTTTCTTCAACTCCACGAAATCCCACTTTCTCATAATATACTGAGCGAAAGTTTCTCTGCGAGTCTTCAGTCATGTTTCATTCAGAGATGCTTACGAAGAAAAGCCTTGGTAATCGGCTTCTGAGAACTCACAGCCTTGAAAACTCCATGGGGCATTTCTGCTCTTCACCTAAGCTCACCATGAGTCACAATCAATCTAAGGGTAACTAGTAACACCACCATCACAATCACACTTAAAACCAAAACCTCCAGTAAAAGAAACCACTCTTGGGTGACGCTGGGTGGTGCAGTAGAGGCCCGGTGTTCTGACCCGCCGCGCCCCGAGAGCGGAACTGGGCGAGGGGGCGAGTGTCAGGAAGACGCGCGCCACAGGGAGGGCGCGGGTCGGCCTCGCTGGGGCAGATCCATAGGTAAATATTTTTAAGGGCATGGGAAGTGCAGGCCTCGGCCATAACCTATCCCTCTGTGCCCTATGTACTAGATCTGGGATAACCCATTCATCAGCTGGGACGCAAAGGAATGTGGTGCAATCGGTAAACTCACGGTGACAGCTGAGAACCTGTGGCTCCCAGACATCTTCATCGTGGAATCGTGGGTATCGGGGCTGGAAAAAGTTAATGGGAAGCTCCATCTATGAAACACAAGCCAGGGAGGGACAGGGCAAACCCCTACTGTGAGGCCTCAAAACACTTATTCCAGAGAGGAACGGTCACAGCTTGTCATCGGCTCTCCCTGTAGTAACTAGGTGCCATCAAGCCAGTGCCTACTCATAGCAGCCCTCTGTGAAACAGAATGAAACATCGCCCAGTCGTGTGGAATCTTCACAGTCATTGCTGTGTTTGAACCCACTGTTGTAGTCTCGATGTCAATCCATCTCACCGAGGGTCTAAGGATGATGTTCTTCTGCACAGACGGGCCATTTCCTGACAACACATCCAAACTTCTCCCTAAAGATAGTACAGATGGCAGAGAAGCCGTCATGAGTAAAACTGGGAAACCTAACTTAAGACAAAGGAGCTTTGGTGGCAAAACACACTATGAGTTGGTCAATAGTTCGAATCTACCAGCTGCAATCTCCTCTCATAAAGATTTACAGACTTGGAAATTTGATGGAGGGTTCCCATGAGCTGGGATTTGATAACTTAAGAGGAAATCCCAGACTGATGTGAGACCCAGAGTGCTTGCCTCTTTTACTCTCAGGATGGATGTGGATCACACCCCAGAAGGCCTCTCCGCAATTTTAACCAACGATGGTCGAATCCAATATAACAAACCAATGCGAGTGACCAGCATCTGCAGCCTGGACATCTTCTACTTCCCCTTTGACCAGCAGAACTGCACACTTACCTTCAGCTCATTCCTCTACACAGGTGAGTTGCAGTGGGTTTTGTGGATGGGGCAAATCAGATCAACCAGCCGGGCAGCACAAAAGCATACATAAGCAAAACCATGTTTAAAGCTACATAAAAATGGACAGTGAGGTCTTTGCTGATGAGACTGTGTGGATAGTAGGATGGGGAAGCTGAGCGGAGGAAGGCTTTCTGAGGAAATCTGGAATAAAAATGAGGCAGCTGTGTAGTCAGGAAATCATCTTATCTGGAATGTTGGACACGGTAGCTTTCTAATCCATCACTCTAAGCCCATACCGAGGAGTGCTGAGCAGATGCACGTTGAATGATCGTTTGTCTCTCCTGCAGTGGACGACATGTTGCTGGGCATGGACAAGGAAGTGTGGGAGATAGCAGAGACGTCACGTGACATAGTCCGCACCCAAGGGGAGTGGGTGCTCCTGGGCATCAACAAGGCCACTCCGAAGCTGTCGGTGGGCTCCAGCCTTTTTGATCAGATCATGTTCTACGTGAGCCCAGAAGTTCTTACATGACAACCCACCATCCCTCTCCCCAGACCCTCCTGAGCCCTTGAGCCTCTGTTTCTTGCCCAGAAGCACCATGCATGTGGTAGCCCTCAGAGCCTTCCTCCGTCCTGAGTCCCTCAAACCACCCTCCCCTTTCTGGGCCTGACAGCTCTGGCCCAGGCTTTCTTTGGTGGATATAGAGAAGTCTAGTCATACGAAAGCTACTCCTTATCTGGCCCTACAAAAAGCCTCTGCCGGGGTGAGGACACAGAGGCAGAAAGGACGAGAGCCATTCCTCGTTCCCTAGCTTCACCCGATTCTCTGCACTCTCTCCTCTGCCAGGTGGCCATCAGGCGCAGACCAATCCTATATGTCATAAATCTTCTGGTCCCTAGTAGCTTCCTGATAGCCATCGACGCCCTCAGCTTCTACCTGCCAACGGAAAGTGGGAATCGTGCCCCGTTCAAGATCACTCTCCTGCTGGGCTACAACGTCTTCTTGTTCATGACAAACAAGCTGCTCCCTGCGAGTGGAACCCCACTCATCAGTATGTTCCCTCCCACTACTGGAAAACAATAATAAAATAAAAGAAGGAGGGATGGGCAGGTGCACCGGTGAGGCAGCAGAAGTGTTAAAGAAGGCATCTTCAGAAAGGGCCTTCTCCATGAGACAGAGAAAGTGCATCTTAGTGGTACCTCAGGACCTGCCTGGCTCAGGTGCATTCCTCACCCTCCTCCTAGGTGTCTACTTTGCCCTGTGCCTGTCCCTGATGGTGGTCAGTCTGCTAGAGACCATCTTCATCACCTACCTCCTCCACATGGCCACCACCCAGCCCCCACCCATGCCTCAATGGCTCTACTTCCTGCTGCTGCATTGTGACAGCCTCCAGAATTGCTGCCCTGCTAAACTCTGGAAAAAGAATGTGAACCAGGGCCTCACCTCCACCCACCTGCCTGGTAAGAGAATTCAGCATTGACCACATTTCCTCTTTACGCTGAGCCCAACTCCCCAAACCCCCATTTCTCTTATCCTCTCTTCTTGACACTTCATGGCTATGCCTCTGCCCTCACCATAGGTCTGAAGGAGCTGGGACCCAAAGAGACAGAAGTCAGTAGGAATGTAGGCTGGACAAAGGCCCAGCAGGTTGACCTGTGGGTACAGTTGGGCCACGTAACGGACACTCTGCTCTTCCACCTCTACCTGTTCTTCCTGGTCACCTCCATTATCACAGTCATCATTCTCTGGAACACCTAGGACTTCTAATATGCAGTTTCTATTGGCCTTGGTTGACCTCCCCTGACCCACATCTTTGTGCCAATATGCATATGCAGTTCCAAAAATACCCATGATCCTTGCTCCAGCCCTCCCTGAACCACTGCCAGATGTCCCAGAAACAGGACTATATGTTCAAATGAGTTTGGAATAGACATGCTTATCTTAGAAATAGAACTTTTACTGGAAAAAGAAGGCATTATAATAAATTATTACAAACATTTACCCCAAAAAATTAACCTTTTTTTCCTATTACTGGTGTATATGGAAATAAACAAGACTTTTTCTCAGGTGGCAAAGTCTATAGGGAGTTGCACTGCTAACCAAAGGTAGCACCTCTCTAGACTGACGTCATTGCTCTTCAGCACTCTGCAGAAGTCCTTGACAGCAGATTTTCCCAATGCCACTCATCTTTTGATTTCCTGATTGCTGGTGCCAAGGGTATTGACTGTGGATCCGAGCAAGATGAAATCGCTAACAACTTCAATCTTTTCTCCATCTATCATGATGTTGCCTATTGGCGTGGTGGTGAGGATTTTTGCTTTCCTGATGCAGAGATGCAGTCCTTGATCTTCTACAGTGAAAGCTTCAAGTCCTCTTCAGTTTGGCAAGAAAGGTTGTGTTGCATAATGCAATTTGCTGATAAGTCTTCCTCCAATCGTGATGCCACATTCCTCCTCATAAAGTCCAGCCTCCTGAGTAATCTGTAACACATATGGATTGAACAATTATGTGGAGAAGATGCATTCCTGACATGTTCCTTTCTTGATTTTGAATCGTCCAGTGTTTCCCTGCAGGTCCACGACAAAGAGGAAGACCCTCAATGAAATGGATTGACAGTTGCGCTGCTGGCTTAAATACAGCAGGGATTGTGGGGATGCACAGGACTGGATAAGGTTCATTCTCACATACATAGGGTTGATATGAACCGAACCATCTCAACGGCGCCTATCGACAACCACCACCATGTCCTAGGCACTCTTCTGGAGACCGAGGCCGCAGCAGTGAACCAAAGTGACAAGAATCTCTACTGTTAACAAGATTATATTCTAGAGATGCTGGCTGTTGCTGCTCTCATGTGCTGTCAATTTGGAACCAACTCATAACTTATCCTGCAAGCAGATTTTTAGAAGCTATAAATCACACCAGAGGAGATTTTACTCCTCTTTCTCCCAATGAGAAGCTGGTTGATTCAAACCATCTGCCTTAGAGTCAGCAGCACAACTCTTTACCCACTAGGCCACCAGAGCTCCTTAGAGGTGCTGGCAAGACTGATAATAAGGAAGATAAGTAAGTAAAGCTGACAAACAACAAAAAATTTAATGCCACCACGGGTATGCAGCATAGAACAATTCCACTGGGTTTTTAATTGGTGACCTTTCAGAAGCAGGTCACCAGGCCTTCCTTTTGAGACATCCTTGAGCACTTACAAAAGGTTGGTTCAAAACATCAACTTTGGTGCCTTATCCATGTTAACTTTTAAATCTGTACCACCCAAGGACACAATATGTCAAGGAGATAAAGAGAGGAAAGGAAGAATAAAACATTGGGGAAAGGAGTTGCCAGTTTAATCAGGTGACCAGGGAATACCTCATTATTACTTCTGATCAGGACAATCCTAAGGCGTTATTTTCCAAACCTCTTGAAAGACTGTCACGAGCGTTGAGCCTTAATGAATTACTCATAGACATATTACAAAAGTCAATTACAATTTATTGATTCATTCATTAATTAATTCATAATAATAATTGCAATTTATCTACATTTCAATTCATAAATTTATCACAACATATTGATTCATCAATTCATAGTAAGCATTAAACAGTTAATTGCAATTTTCTACATTGCAATTCATAAATTTATATTGAATATAATTTACAGGATAGTGAGAAACACTTACCCCTAAATGCCCAACTTGTCTCTTCCTTTTGGTCTCTCATGACCACTGGTGCAGACGGGATCCTTGGCTGGTCCAGCAGCTCACAGTCACTAGTGTGGCCAGGATCTTCAGCTCTGGAAAGAGCCTCTGGGTTTTCAGTTCTGAAAAGAGCCTTTAGGTCTTCAGCTCTCCAAAAATTGCTATATGTTCGAAATAAGAATATGTGTTGGAATTTTCAGCAATATCTTGCTTGCATTTGATATCAATGATATTGTTCAATAATTTCCACACTCTGTTGGGTAACTTTTCTTTGGAATAGGAACAAATATAGATCTCTTCCAGTCAGTTGGCCAGCTGGCTGTCCTCCATATTTCCTGGCACAACTTAGTGAGCACATCCAGGGCAGCATCTGTTTGTTGAAATAAATCAATTGGTATGTTGTCAACTCCTGGAGCCTTGTTTTTTGCCAATTCATTCAGAACAACTTGAACTTCCTCCTGTATCACCGTAGGCTCTTGCTCATATTAGGTGCTAGGGACACATTATTGTTGTTGTTCTTGTTCTTGTTCTTGTTATGCACTGTTGATTCACATGTGGCTCATAGGGACCTGTGAACAACAGATCTGAGCCTTATCCTATCCTGTGCCATCCTCACCACCTCTGACACACTTGAGCCCATTGTTGTAGTCATCATGTCAGTCCATCTCGTTGTGGGTCTTTCTCTCTTAACCTGACCCTCCACCTTTCCAAGCATAATGTCCTTCTCCAAGGACTGATCCGTCCTAATAAAGTATGTGGGACAAAGCTTCACCATCCTCGCCTCCAAGGAGCACTCTGGCTGCACGTTCTCCTTTTGTTTTTTGTTTGTCCTTTTAGTGGTACATGGGACATTCAGTACTCTTCTCCAACACCACAATTCAAAGGCAATTATCCTTCTTCTGTCTCCCTTAGCATCTACAAATGACATAAACTAAACACTGTGAGAGACTTGATCCAGTCCAATTTAAGCTATGAGAGTTTATAGCACAGCTAGAAAATAAAATATGTTTATGAAAACATATTTCTTTGAAGTTGTGTTAAGTGCCACCATAAAGAGAAATTATGACAATGTCCTGGAGGTAAAAGTTGTATCTCATTGGAGCAGTGGTTCTCAGGAGGCAATTTATAATCACCTGAGGGGCTTCTAAAATACTACTAGTGCCCAGGCCTCACTCCAGTTCAGAATGTTTAGAACAGGATTTGAAAGGGCTCATGAGATAGTGATACGCAGCCAGAATTGTAACCAATGAAGGAAGGGGAGTTTTGTCTAGAGGAGTGGTGTTCAGCATGTGTTTTACAGGATGACTAATTCTTAAACCTGGTTGAAAGCAGAGAATACTGGAAGAATGTCTATTTATGGAGTTTTTAAATTTTCTTAATTTGTATTTTGTTACTATGCAAAGACATTTGACTGTGTGGATTATATAATAAACTATGGTTAACTTTGAGAAAGTGGGAATTCCAGAACACTTAATTATTCCCATATAAAACCTATACCTAGACCAAGAAGTTGTTGTCCAAACATAGTAAAGGTTTAAAATCAGGAAAGGTGTGTGTCAGAGTAGCATCCTTTCTTCATACCCATTCAATCTACACACTGAACAAATAATTTGAGAAGCTGGGCTCTATAAAGAAGAATGTGGCATCAAGATCAGAGGAAGACTCATCAACAACCTACACTATGCAGATGACACAGCCTGGCTTGCTGAAAGTGAAGAAAATTTCGCAAGAACATGGAAACAACCCAGATGTCCAACCACAACGGAATGGATTGAGAAATTATGGTACATTCACACAATGGAATACTATGCAGCACGTAGGAGCAATGACTTTGTAAATTACTACCTAACATGGAAAGGACTGGAGGGCATTATGCTAAGTGAACTAACTCAGACACATAAAGACAAATGCTGTATAAAACCATTATTGTAGAACAAGTGTGAAGATCCAAGGGAGGAGGCACTTAATCATAGGGTCACACAATTTGATGAGTGGAGGGAGGGATGGGGAAAGGAAAGGGGAAAGATCCAGTGTGAAAAACAATGTATATGAACTTTGTAAATAAAGCAGTGTAAAATATTTAATTAAAAAAAAGACAAAAATTCTCACCACTGGTCTGATAAGTAACATCAAGACTTATGGAGAAAAGATTGAAATTGTCAATTATTTAATCTTACTTGGATCCACAATCTACTTTGGTATCAACAATCAGGAGATCAGGAGAGGTGTTGCATTGGGCAAGTCCACTGTCAGGTATCTCTCCAAAATGATGAGGAGCAATGATGTTAGTTTGAAGACTAAGGTGATAGCTAAACCTTAGACTTTACTGATAGTTAAAGGACACAGTATTTCTTCTTAAGGTGATGAAAATATTAGTTTGAAGACTAAGGTGATAGCTAAACCTTAGACTTTACTGATAGTTAAAGGACACAGTATTTCTTCTTAAGGTGATGAAAATATTAGTTTGAAGACTAAGGTGCATCTGATTCAGGCCATGGTCTTTTCAATCACTTGCTATGCATCTGAGAGCTGGACAACGACTAAGGATGACAGAAGAAGAATCAATGCCTTTGAGCTGTGGTGCTGGAGAAGACTATCCCATGGTCTGCCAAAAGAACAAACAAATATGTCTTGGAGAAAGTACAGCCGGATTGCTCCTTGGAGGCAAAGATGACAAAGCTTCATCTCACATACTTAGGGCATGTTGTTAGGAGAGGGTATTCCTTGGAAAAGGGACATCGTGCTTAGAAAAGCAGAGAGGGTCAGCAGAGGAAAGGAAGACCCTCAACAAGATGGATCGACATAGTGACTGCAGCAATGGCTCAAGTGTGTCAGAGATGAGGAGGAGGACACACAGGGTTCAGATCTGTATTTATAGGGTCACTATGAGTTGGACTCGACTTGACGACATCTAACAACAACAGTATGTGAACAAATTGAGGAACAGGAGGTATCCCAGAATTGAGAGGTCATAACAGCCTCTGGGGTGAAGGACATTGGGCACAATCACAGCCAATTCAGCCTCCTGAGATGCAGTTTCTGTGCAGCAATTGGGCTGAGGGTC